TGGGTAATGCTGTGGGACCCGGCCCTCCTATGTTCCTCTTTGAATATTTACGTGATGTGTGCAGAGATACCAGCGTTCCCACATATGCAGGCCTGAGTGTAGAGTTTGGTGAGTGTTATGGATATCTTTTGTCATGATGTCTTTGAGAATCCAATCAAGAAAGCTAATCTTTTCATGTTGAGTTACTGAAAGCTTCCCCAAACCCGGGTCAAAGCGGTGAAATAATGCCGTGAGTAGGTTTCTCAGTTGGCTTTGAATGCATTTGTTGCGTAAATGAGCCTTTTGGGGGCACCTTGAGGAGCTAGCTTCTAGTCTACCCTCATGGAGACAAGAGGCTGGCTTTTTGGGGGTTTTGTCCCCAACAATAAACCTGCTAATAACAGAAAAAATATTTGTAACAGCTACCAGTCCTTGAGTGCTGCCTACATAGCAGTGCAGCATGAGAAACATTTAATCCTTACATTAACCATGTCAGATGAACGTTTGGAAGCGCTCTTTGGTCAGCTCTAGGGGAAACTGAGGCTTACAAGTGACAGGAACCTGCCCACACGAAGTCGCTTGTTGGAGCTCACGCAGCTTGGCAATGTCTTTGCTAGATCTGAACTTAACGTCTTCCTGATTGTAGAGAGTGTCACGGGGGCTGGTAGATGCTTTGCAGGTGTAAAACTATGTTCTGGGGGCAGAATTCCTAAATATGGTGTCTGCATTGCCCCGAAATGTGGCATTTTCCTGGGGACAGCCATTGCCCCGTGGTTTACTGGAACAGTGTGGCGTTACTGTCTTAATCTGTAAGCTGCAGCTGAGAGGTGTCCTCTTAATTTGAGAGGTTCATAAATATATATCTTTTGGCCCGTATTACTGATCTGCGGTTCCTAGTGAATGTTCCTCTTGTGTTAAGTTTTGTTTTTAAAGGCAGAGCTGGTAGGGAAAAGCATCTGGGGGACGTTCCTCAGTCCTCCTGTATTAGAAGGAATTGTTGTCTTAGAGGGAACGTTGCCCTAATCCTGGGAGGTGCCCAACTCTGAGAGAAAGTATCACGGGGCTTCTATCCCAGGGTCCCTGATCACTCACCATGGTCTGTGGATCTCGTGTGCATGTGAAGGTGCATCTTGCCTGGAGAGAGGGCAAATAGCCTTCATAAGATCCTCTAAGGAGTTCCCAACCCTAGAGGTATCAAGAACCCTGAGGGCTGACCCAGAGGCTGTCCCAGCTCTGGACATCAGCCCTTTCCCTTTCGCCTTGACTCTACCTCTTCCTCTGTTCCCCGAGGGTGCTGAACACGGTCCTTATGATTTGTGGGATCTATAAGGAAGCTGTAGCCCCGAATGAAGTTCTTGGGAGCTCTAACTCTACCTAGAAACAAGATGGGGCTCTAACTCTACTTAGAAACAAGCCTTGTCCAGACCCGACATCACAGCAGACGGCTTGTATCTATGACCGTGCCAGAAACTTCACCAAAGGGTTGCTTCCTGACCTACCCCTCTCATCACAGCTGCCCCCGCAGGGTACCAACATTCTAGCACAGGGCACAGCGCCTAGACAGCTCAACACCAACCTGCCAGATAACCCTGGGGGTTTATTTTCAGGAAATAACTGAGGGGCAGGGGTGCATCCTGGCCTGAGTAGCATTCCAGTCTTTCCAGAGGTGGGGCCCTGAGGAAATTACTCACCCTGTGGCATCCTCAGTCATCCCGTACATAAAATGCGGAGGATCTACCTTCCATGTGAGGCTGCTGTGAGAAGCAAGCACACACAGAGTGCTCAGAAACTAGGAGGTAAAAACTGGATGAATATTGTCCTTAGAGCCGTGAAAGCTGGTTCCTGTCCATTGGGTGGTTGGGGGTTCCCTAAACAGTCCTGGGTGCCTTCAGTACTGTCTGCTATCCTCTGGGCGTCTGGACATTCACCTTGTCTTCGTTTTTGGCAAACTTGGCCAATGGCACGGCAGCTGAATCCCAGCAGTAAAAACTCACTCATACAGCAGGTAGTTGCCGAGCAACTGTGTCTCCTGATGAACAGCGAAGTCTTGACCCCTGTTCCCTTGGAGTGTGAGTTTAGAGTCATGGCTGGTCCTAAACAGCCCAGCAAAGACCTGTGAGTGCAGATCAGGAGAAGCACTGCAGAAGGAATCAAGACCCTGCTGGAGAATAACGGGGCTTCATTAGGAACTGGGGGATGGCCTTTTTAGGGGTGCACATGTCAGTTTGGATTATGGCAGGTAGAAAGGAGTTGAGTAGAGGGAAGAGCATTTACAGCAGGGGGAACAGCATGTGTGAATCCTCAACAAGGGAGAGCTTGCTTATTCCTAGGATGTGCGGTCGGGACATGGCGGGTTTCGGGGCTGAGGCTGGCGGGGAGTTGAGGTGGGAAGGCTCGGACCTTCAAAGCTCTGCCAAGGTGCTGTACTTTATTGCAAGTACAAAGCAAAGTGCTGAAGGGACTTGATGTAGCGTGAGCATGAATGCAGAATCTCTCAGCAGGAAACAAGGGTGAGACATGGGATGGAGCCTGTGGACTTCAGGTGGGGATAAGGGGATTTTGTCTAAAAAGTGGCATCCTGCTTCTTTTTGTTTTTTAAGATTCCATTTATTTATTTTAGAGAGAGAGAGAGAGAGAGAGAGAGACCTTGAGCAAGGAGGAGCAGAGGGAGAGGGACAAGCAGACTCTGCACTGAGCAGAGAGCCTGATGTAGGGCTCAATCCCACGACCCTAAGATCATGACCTGAGGTGACATCAAGAGTCAGACACTCAACTGACTGAGCCACCCAGGCACCCCAGTGGCATCCTGCTTCTTATGGGGATTCCATCTAAGCCACTCCGGAGCCCTCTGAAATAGCTCTTTCTGAGTCCCAGTTGAAAGGCGAGTCCCTTTGGTAGCAGTGTCCCTCCCTGTCCCTGCTCCTGGCCTGGGCTGAAAGGGAGGACACACCTCCCCACTCGGCACTGTGGCTGTATCACAGAGAATAGTTTTGAAGACCATGTTCCCACCCTATTTGCCTCCACAGCATTCTCCCCCCTCATTTCTGTAGTTTATTCCTAGCATCGGCTATTGGGATTGGATGTCTTTCTTCCACTTTGTCCTGGAGTTGTATTGTCCCTGGAAGGATAAACGGAAGGACGTTGTTGGTGCCAGCAGAAGGCCTTCCGTTTGCCTGGACTCCACGTACCGAGCACTTGATATGCTTAAACTTTCACTGAATTTCTTTAGAAAATTGTAGATGCATCTTGGAGAAGGGAAACTCTACCCACTAGAAAAAACACATTTACAAAAGAAAACCAGTTAATTTCCTTGGTCATGCCAACCCTATTGAAGACTCTTATGGAGCATGACCCTGAAGTATAGGGTGACCTGCAGGCCCCATTCTGAAATCCAAGTCTCAGGGTGTGGTTTCTGAGTGGACAGGGTAGATGGGGAGTCACAAGGGAAGGGACCGGCGCCCGAGGATCAGTGTCAGAGGCCTGACAGACTCTGCATGATGTAGTTGGCCACACAGGTGACACCAGTGCCTGTCTGCACAGGACGGGAAGGGAGAGACAGAATCCTGATTCTCTCCATAAGATGAGATCTGAGAGGAACACCTAGGTCTGGTCAGAGCTGAGCATCCATCACTCACGTGGGCATGTCCCAAAAGGCTCTAGAATGTTCTTGGAATCTCGGCTGTTGCTGTTGCTGTGACCACGACCCAAGGACCAGGTGATCCTCTTCTTTGTGAAGGTCTAACTCTCTTCTCAAAGATAGACATGACTCACCCAGTCTGAGGTCAGATGGGCCACCAAGGTAGGATTCAGGGAGTGGCCATCGGTGGGGTGTTGGCCATCCTGCCTGGCCCTCTCCTGTTCAGCCCGTCCAGTTGAAGATGATCTAAAATAGTGTGGATGACCAGCAGCAAATGCCTGATGAATCCTGGGACTCCAGGCTGCCTGCCTGTCTCAGAATTGATAGTGTAGCGACCCATTTTATTTTTAAATATTTTATTGTATTTTATTTTTTATTGAAGTATAGTGACACACAATGTTATATTAGTTTCATTTTACAACATAGTGATTAGATGATTGTATACATTACTCAGTGCTCACCACAATAAGTGTGTTCACCATCTGTCACCTTATGATGTTATTATAGTACTATTGACTGTATTCCCTATGCTCTACTTACCATCCCTCTGACTTACTCATTTTATAACTGGAAGTTTGTACCTCTTACTCCACTTAACTATTTTGCTCATCCCCCCACCTGCCTCCCCTCTGGCATCCACTACTTTGTTCTCTGTGTATGTGAGTCTGTTTCTGTTTTTCTTTGTTCATTTCTTTTATTTGTTTAGACTGCACATATAAATGAAATCATCTGATATTTGTCTTTGACTTATTTCACTTAGCTTTATACTCTCTAGACCCAGCCATGTTGTTGTAATTGGTAAGATCTTATTCTTTTTTATGGCTGAGTAATATTCCATTGTATGTATATATGTGTATATATATATACACAATACAGCTTCTTTATCCATTCATCTATCAGCAGATACTTGGATTGTTTCTATATCTTGGCTATTGTAAATAATGCTGCGGTAAACATAGGGGTGCAGATATCTTTCCGAATTAGTGTTTTCATTTTCTTTGTGTAAACACCCAGCAGTGGAATTACTAGATAGCACTATGGCACTTTTTTATTTTATTTTTTTGAAGTTGGAGAGCAATGTTTATCTTACAAAGGAGAGTGACCACATATGAAAAATACCACTTAGCATTAGGTGGAAAAACACATAAAAATCATTCCCCAACCCCCAATCCCTTGGTACTCAATGCTGTAGCTCCCACTGAGGTAATGCTGTACCACTATCCCATGGCTTAAAGAAAAAAAAGGAAACAAAACCAAACCAAAAAAAACCTCCATGAGAGGAAGACCCAATCCTACATAACTGCCATCTGTAGGAGTTGGCAATCTGCCAACTCTAAGGAGTTGCAGGGCTCTGCCCCCTCAGTCAGACTGATCTTTCTCCGTCATGTGTAAGAAGACCATGCTGAAGATGAAGAGCCCCAGCATCATGGAGAAGTCTCTGGCTGGCATAGTAGGGCTAGGCCGAGGGGATGATGCACTCATACTGCATGTGCGGGAGTGGCCTCATGGACGCCCGAGTGCAGGAGTGTAAGTTCGTGTAGCCTAGCCGGTTGTAATCCAGTTTCACCTGGAACACTCCATACACATTGGGCAACTTGAACTGGACACCATATTTGCCACCTAGTGCCCACTACCTGCCACTAAAGATATTTCTGTTTTTAATTTTTTTCACGAACCTCCATACTGGTTCCCACAGTGGCTGCATCAGTTTGCATTCCCACCAACAGTGCACGAGAGTTCCCTTTTCTCTATATCCTCGCCAACACATTATTTCTTTTCTTCTTGATTTTAGGCATTCTGACAGATGTGAGGTGATATCTCGTTGTGGTTTGATTTGCATTTCCCTGATGATTAGTGATGTTGAGCATCTTTTCATGTGTCTGTTGGCCCTCTCGATGTCTTCTTTAGAATAATATGTGTTCAGGTCCTCTGCCCAATTTTTGATGGGATTGTTTGTTTTTTTGGCATTGAGTTGTATAAATTCTGTATATATTTTGGATATGAGCCCCTTATCGGTTGTATCATTTGCAAATATCTTCTCCCATTCTGTAGATTGCCTTTCATTTTGTTGATGGTTTCCTTTGCTGTGGAAGAGCTTTTTATTGTGATGAAGTCCCAATAAGTTATTTTTGCTTTTGTTCCCCTTGTGTGAGGAGACATATCCAGAAAAATATTCCTAAGGCCGAGGTCCAAGAGATTATGCCTGTGTTTTCTTTTAGCGGGTTTATGGTTTCAGGTTTCACATTTAGGTCTTTAATCCATTTTCAGTTTATTTTTGCATATGGTGTAAGAAAGTGGTCTCACGGCTGTCCCAAAACAATGATTGTGACCTCTTTTAGTCAATTAAATGTATTACAGTTTTCTTAAATACCTACAAGTGTGAAGCTAGGTAAGTAGGCTCCTTTTACAACTGTAAAATGAAAACAATGTATAAATTACACAAAATGAAGCACAAAAGTCACCTTAACAAAGCTGTTAGTTGTTAGTCGCTAACACTTATTATGAACTTGAGTGCTAGTTCATAAGCATCATTACATCAGATCATCATGGCAATCCTACAGGGTCGTTCCTGTTTTCCAGATAAGGAAACTGAGGCACAGGGCTCTGTCAGTTTCTGAGAGCACACAGCTAGTGAGAGGCAGAGCCAGGCTTTGATCCGAGGCTGCCTGCCACGTAGCCATGTGGGCCTCTGAATCACGACCATCCACTCCCTTTCTGTGGCGCTGACACTTGACTGAGATCACCAGCATTCAATCTGACACGTAAAAAGTTAAATCTCTGTAGGTCAGTTTCTTACTGTGCACATTAATCTTTTGACTTTAAGATGATGACCATCATTTACATCAATGCCATTATGGTTGCCTTTTTTTTAAGATTTATTTATTTATTTGAGAGAGAGAAAGAGAGCATGAGAGGGAGGGGCAGAGGGAGAGGGAGAGAGAATCCGAAGCAGACTCCACACTGAGCGTGGAGCCCGACACGGCGCTCGAGCTCACGATCCTGAGATCATGACCTGAACCAAAACCAAGAATCAGACACTCAACCATCTGAGCCACCCAGGCACCCCTATGGTTGCTTTCTAATGCAGATAACAAGATCCCATTAATTTGATGGACATGTTTGATAATGCAAGTGAACACAATACTGAAAAGTAGTTAAATCAAATATTCGTCGTTGCCTTTTTAACACCGCACAGCTAATTACAAGGGCAGGACCTTCTCATCACGTTTTTGGGCAACAGAAAAAAAGCATGGTCAGTTCTCAAGCAGTGTAGGACTTTGGGTTTGGACCCCCGGGGATCCTTTGACCCTCACAGTGCAGGGGACATTATTCAGTCTCTGCTGCAGGTGTGGTCCCAACCCCACCCAACACTGGTACTGAACCGTGTGGCAGTGAGTACAATGCAGATGACCCCATTTGGGAAACTCCTAATGAAATGATTATTTAAATGATTGCACATGTTTAAAAAAAATCTTTTACCCTTTAGGCTGCCACCAACTCCATTTGTAGATCTTTAGGGATTCCTAAACTCTGGTTTAAAGGAAAATGTGTTTTAGAAATGAGGTTTCTTGCACTAAAGTTTTACTTAAGAATTCTATAATTATTTTAGAACACTGTTTTAAAAAACTAAACAGGCACACTCAAGCACATTGTAACTTGACGAAATTTCCATGCTGCCCAGGTGCACCTTTTTGCTGTAAATGAACTTAGCACCGTCCTAAGTCCCTTTTAGATTTCTCCATGAGTCAGATACCCTCTTTGGGCACAACAGAGTATGTAAAGACAGGAGACCCGTTCTGAGCACCTACTCCTTGCCAGGTCCTGCACCAGTCACCTTACATCTGTTACCTGGTTCAGTCTACATGGAAACTCAAGCCCAGGCCTAGTGGGCAGAGAGCCCAGAGTATCTGCGAGCCCCAAGCTATACCCACACCTCATGCATCTAATTTAGTGCTTTCGGTCGGGAAAGTGGTGGCTTATACAGCTAGTGCTTCCTAGCCTGCAGTGTACCCACGTGGGCAGTTCTGAAACCAGCACCATCAGCGTCATGAAAGTCAAGTGTTGTGCTAGAACGCAGGGCAGAAGCACTTGAGAGGCACTTGACTGGTCCTCTCTCATCCTCACAGTGTACTGACTGGCGTCCTAACCAAATGCGTAGGGGGCTACAGGGACCCTGCAAACTTGGGAAAGCACACAGCCACGTCCTGCCCACTCCCACACACCCGCTCCACTTGGAGCCCTTGTCCCCATCTCTACCACCTTAGTCCCCTCCCCCCGAGACTGCTGGGCAAAATGGAAATACAGTGTCCACCCCAAGACTCCAGTTGAGGTTGCTGGGTAGGCGGGGGTCATAGCTGCCCACATGGCCTGTCTTCCTGGGCCTGTAGGCCCCGTTGCACCTGTGTGAGCACCTCACCTTTCGGGGCTTTCCATCGGGAGGGCTGGCACTCTCAGCCAGGCTCCTTTCTCTCTAGCTTCTCATACCAGACCCACCACACCTTCCCCCCCGTTGGAGCACACGCTGTTCTAGTATGTGCTCTCACTTCCCTCAGCCCTGCCCATGTAGAGCTTTCTGCCCGATTCTTTCGAGCCCCGTCCCTCTCCTGTTGCTCCTGTGACCCCGTGTCTCTCCTTTGGATTTGGTGGTCTGCTGCCTTGAATTGCCCTGGCTTCTGAGCTTGCCTTCCAGAGCTGTTAGGATGAGCGCGTGTGCGCATGTGCGCTTGTGCGTGTGCGTGTGCGCGTGCTTGTGCGCATGTGCGCTTGTGCGTGTGCGCGTGCTTGTGCGTGTGTGCGCATGTGCGCTTGTGCGTGTGCGCATGCTCCTCGAGAGCAGCCACTGTCTTGCTCAAGGTGGTTCGTAGGAAATGAACAAGGCTCTCCGTGATGCGGTCCACGCTCAGCCCCGTGCCTCCCGCACACGTCCTTGCTGGGAACCGCTCACGCCCACCCCTGTCCTTGCCAACTCCGACTGACTTTTCATATCACGGCTCGCAGGTCACTTCCTGAACCCAGCCTAAATCAGGAGTGCTTTATAACACTTGAGTAGCACGGTCTGTCCTTCTTTTCTGTGTTTACGTGTGCTATCGCTTGGTGATATCAGTCTGCCCTTGGAGACCGTGAGCTTGTGGAGGGCGACTTAAATCTCTTATCGTAGGTCTTGGAGTGGTTCTGGGACACGATGGGGCCGACCATGTTTGTTTAGTGGATGACTATCTTCTCAGAGACACTTGGGTCTGGCTCACAGGACTAAATAAGTGTGCAAAATAATATTCCATGGCATCATTATTAAAATCCTGTTAGAAATGCGCCCCTTTCTCTGATGCTTCCTCCCAACCAGGACTGCCCCCAGGAATCACCTGGAGCGTGACAACCACAGAGTCCAATTCAGGAGGTCTGGGGCGAGGCTGGGAGCCTGCGTTGACTCAGCTGCCTGGGACTCTCCTAGGGCTCCCTACCCACCTCCAGGCTGCTCCCTCCGTGGGGTTGAGGCAGAGGCCTTGTCCAGCTACCTGGCAGGAGAGACGAGGCTGACACCGGCAGCAAAGTGACCCTGAGAACCAAGGCGGCTCATTTCTAACTCTCAGAATCTTTTAGGAGGAATCAAACGTTCTGCTTTGGAAGAATCTTGGGCAGAGAGTGGCAACTCCCTTCTGCCCCGGGGTGAAAACAGACCCAGTTAGGCAGAGCTTGCTTCACGGTGGATCCTAAGCGGGAGGAGTGGGGTGTGCTGGGTTTCTCTTTGAAATTCCCTTTAGGCAGATACTGTTCACCCTGCTTCCTGCCAGGGCAGCCGGATGGTAAATGGGCATCAATCACGCAGACAGGTGAGCCAGCATCAGCATGACCACTGACTTCAGTGTCCACTGGTCATGGACACTGAGAAAGTATTTGAGGCACAGAAATAAATAAATAAAAATAAAGCAGAGAGCCCTTTGGACTCTGCTCCGGGGAAGTTAGAGTAGAGAGTTGTGGGGATTTTCCCTTCGCAGGCTGCAGGCTCTGCCTGCCCTGGGCTCCCCCAGCCTGGCTGGGCGCCTTAGGGGTTAGGTTTTAATGCAGCCACCTGGACTCCAGCCCTGGAATTTGTATTCGCTGGGCCCAGGTGGTGGCAGACGAGCAGCCCACGGCATCCTGGATGGCCTCGCATTGAGGGAACAGAGCTCAGCATTCTGCTGCATGTGGACGAGCTCTGGGAAGAAAATCCTCAGCTGGTGGCATCCCAGGTGAATGCGGGAGCTAGCAAGCACTGCCCTGAAATTTAGATAGGAAATATAGAATGGTTTGAATCGAAAACCATCTGGTATTCTGATTGATGACCTTTGAAATGCCAGAGATGTTTTTGTACATATTATTTCATTTTATAGTTTCTGCTGGGGCACACCCAGTCTTGTACCTGGAGGGAGCCCAGGGAGGGGTGCTGCTTGCTCAGTGACTCAGTCCCTGAGGCACGTGGGACCAGCCCTGCTTCTCCCTGATGGTGCAGGGAAGGAGGGTAGGGTCGCCAGCTGGGTCACCTGCCCGGG